AAAACTTAATGAGTATCATTTTATTTTTTCATCATTTTCCTCTGAGTTTTTAATGAATGACACGAAACAAATAAGCGTGCTAACTTTGATTGATCCAGAAACTAAATTAACGAAAATTTCTAAGTGTGTCTTTGTATAATGTATGTAGTTTAAAATATCTTGGTTTGACCAACTTTTGTTATACTCTTACATCTCCAACATCCTTGTCATCAATCTGTAACTAATTTGCTTCATGTCTTACAATGTTTTTATTTGTATTCGATAGGGATTCAGGGTTCAGTGCGATTGTGAACACTGGTGGGAAGCCTTGTTCGTAGACATCATCGATACTAATATTTACACAGTAAAACCAAACGTCAAACCTCAAATCGAAACGTTTTGAGGTTTGACGTTAGGTCTGGTAGGATTCCTATCCTACCGGAGTTATACAATTGTATTGCATATGTCCCGCTAGAATGGCCTCTTACAATAAGCCACTTGTATAATAACTTAAGACCAGGTTGTACAATACCGTATTTTAGACCCTATTTTGACGCTCGAGAATTGATACTTCTTAATATAGTATGTGCTCGGAAATAATATGCTTATACATAAAATACTCAATAAATCATAAATTCTTAATCAAATTGATTATTAAAATAATTTATAATAGTCGAGTTAAAAATATTATAATTTAATCGTCGGGAAAAAAAATATACTCGTCTTTCAAGTGATTGCCTTAGAATTGAATTAGATTCTTAATTGGCTACATTTTTGTTTAGATCCTTTGTTGCCTTTAATAAGCAAAGCATGTCAAAAAAAACTTTTTGTTCACTGAATGTCGCACACATACTTTGTGCTTGACAAATATGCATGCAACGAGAAGGGAGCGCTAAAAGCTTTTTTAACGTCGGAAATCCTCGCCTTAACATGTTATCTCGTTTTTCTCACTAATATTTAAAAAAGTAGATAGGTATAAATAAAATATCTTGTTTATAATAAATCAAACGCTTTTAATTTTAACGGAATGTGTTTGATAAGTTAGTGACTTTGTTATCTTAATATTCTCGTTACTATAATTAATAGAATCAGGCGTTACTTTGCGGAAATCCATTATATAAAAGCTTTTAGAAAAATTTACTTCGCTAATATCCGCGTTATAAAATAAAATGATGTGTCTTACCTAGTATGAAGAGCACCTCCCGCCCTCCCTCAATTGCGTGCACTATCCCCGTCACCACTAATCCCAGCACCGCTACTCCCAACACCACTACATGTGTGTACAAGTGGAACTTAGCGGTTAGCCACCGTAGAGTCTATATCACCTGAGGATGCCTCGTGTAGAGGCGAAACACGTGTCGTATTATCGTCAGTGGTGTGTCTTGCCTAGTGTAGTGGTATTGGGAGTAGCAGTGCGGGGATTAGTGGTGACGGGGATAGTGCACGCAATTGAGGGAGGGCGGGAGGTGCTCGTCATACTAGGTAAGACACATCATTTTATTTTACAACGCGGATATTAGCGAAGTAAATTTTTCTAAAAGCTTTTATATTCTCGTTACTGATTATTTCTGGGCTGTCATATTCTGGTTTCTGATGATGTTTGTGCTGTTAGCCTACACGGGTCTTACAGCTACATCGGAGTCAGGGCTCGAAAAAGGGCTCGAAAAAGGGGGGGGGGGAATATTTTACTACTCTGCGTCGTTACTTGCGTAATGACGACTCCTAGGACAGATTAAAGTGCACTTAAATGAGTTATGTAACGGCCGTCTGAACAGGGGGTAGTGGGCCCCGGCTCTGACGACTAACTCGTATCGTTCGATGTTTTGCGGTGAGAACTGCCCAGGAACGTGGGTGTACGGTGTGTACGCGGTGTAGAGAATGTGCGGCGCGCCCATCTGCGGACCCGCTGCGTCCCATCCGTTGTAGTACTAACAGTGTTTGTGGCACTAGGTAAGTGAGTAGCGTTTATGAGGAATGGCCGGCGACATTTCGGTCGTCGACATCTAGCGGAACGGGGAGTTTTATTAGAACGTTACGGCGCCTCCGGAGGCTTTCCGTGACGTTCGGAGTCACAGCGTATGTGGCTGCTTTTACCACTAGCGGGTTGGGATATGTCTCGGCCCTCTGGAAGTAGCGCCGAGACGTCTCCTTGAAATACTCAGAGATCGTCGGAAGTTGACAGTCTCTGTGTAAGTCGGAGTTTCGCTGGTACCTCCGAGCTGCGGTGGCTATGCGAATGAATCTATTTTGGATGATTGAATAAAACTACTTTTACGGATTTTATCGCGTTTAATTAAATTATTTTTCTTATTTTTTTTTATTAATTCCCAAAGTTTCGGGTGCTTTCCAGCACCCATGGTGACGGGGGACTGAGGTGATTGACGTCGCGACGTCAGAGTTAACCCGGAGTACCTTCAGCTTTTTTAGTTATTAATTTTGGTCCTATCTACGCAAAATGAACTTACTGTGTCTTGAAGTCTTACAGTGGTATGCGTGGTTTTAGTTTTAATTTTATTAATTACGCTTGCTGTTATCTAGCGGGAGGAAGCGACTGGTGGACCTATTACGTCTGCCTCTTTCCATGCATCTGGGAAGGAGCAACTGGAAAGAAGAGTTTTGAATATGCCTACTAGGAGGCATACTAACGGCACATGAGTAAAGAAACCGACCAGAGGGGAAGCTACATACAAACAGCTCGCTACGAATACACCCATACATAGCGCAGCGATGTGTGCGTGAGCTCTCATCGACAGGTTCACCGACGCTCCGTCGGGGTACAAACCGGTTTGCGCCGGCTCAGTCAGAGTATTAATGAAAGGGCTGTTAGTCGTGCGCATTTAATTATAATATTTCGAAATTTTATACATCAATTAATTTATTAAGTTTTTTTTTGCAATAATTAAATAATTAGATTTAAGTATTTTAATTAAAATAATTAAGAATTATGTTATTATAAATTTATATAGGTAAATAATAAGTGTTCTGCATAAGCAAAAATGCCTAATAGTTGTACAGTATGCATGAATAATTCTAGAGAAAATAAGGATATTTCCTTTTTTTTTTTAATCCGAGAGATCAAGTGAAGTAAGTACCTTTTTACGTAATATACGTTATATATACACTATATTTTATTTAAATTTTTTCCTTGTTAAAAATTAATCGATACGAAACAGATCTTGATTTCGAACAATTAATAGATATTATGTTGTTTCAATATGTAATAATAATTAATACGCATGCTGTTTTATACACTACATACATACTGTAATTTTTTCCTTATTGTTTAAAATTAATCGATACGCGAAACAGCTCTTGATTTCGAATAATTAATAGATATTATGTTGTTACATTATGTAATATAAATAATAATTAATACGCATGCTGTTTTATACACTTTAATTTTTTCCTTATGCTATAAAATATTTTTAATTTTTCCTTAAATTTTTCACATGTATTATGTGACAACCCTATCAGAATAGGTATACATTTTCGACGTTGTTAAGAAGCTTCCCCTCTGGTCCTTACTCTTTACTCTGTGCTAACGGCGCGGAGAGAGATTTCAGTACCTTGTTGCTAATGCCATCGAGGCCGAGTGCTGTTTTCTTTTTAAGGTTTTTAATGACTTCTGTGACTTCGTCGACAGTCACAGGTTCTGAGTGGTCTTCCGCAGGTGGTAGTGCAGGCTTACGCTCGACCTCCGCTTCAACCTCTGCAAGATGAGCGGAATTTGTGGGTTCGTTAGATAGAGTATATTGGCTCTTTAATTTGTCAGCGAGTAATTCGGGCTTTTCAGAGTCGTCAAAGGCGAGATCGGGGCTCACTGGCCTGATGAGAGGCGGCATAGGTGAAGATTGTTCTGCTTTAAGAGCTCGCGTCAATTGCCAGAAGGCAGTTTGTGATGGCTCGTATGTATGCTATAATATTTTGAAGCACTAGTTAGTAAGCACTAGTTTGTAATTGTAATAAGTTATCTCCATACTAAGAATTTTTTAAGTATCGTGGAGTCGTTTCACATTCATAAATTACCCTTGGAAAAACGATCGAGCCGGTACAAGTATTTGTGGGTCATACAAGTAAAAGTTCATCATGCGGAATTCGAATCGGAGGGCCTCAACGACGCGGCGCTACCAAGCCGTTACCAGCTCTTCATTGCTTTATTGATTAAGAGCTGTTATAATAAATAAAGGAAACTGAAATAAGACACTTAAAACATTATACACCAGTATTTTATTTTATTTTATATATAACAGAAATAGCAATGTTTGTGTATCAATGTTTGAATCAATGTGTACATTTTATAGTAAAAAAAAATAGCTTTGGTGTTGAAATATCTATGTAATATTTGCACCAATTAGTCCATAGTAAGCTTAACCGTTACCGCTACAGCCTATCAAAAGTCCACTGTTGAACATGGCTTGCCAGATAGGGAAGATTTTTGCTATAGTTGCCACTTGACAGACAGGTTGGCAATCGCATTTTTTATTGGCATACGGAAAACTGCCGTTGTAAGAAGCTGCTGTCCATCTTTTAAGTTGTGTCCCTTTCCGTGGGAAGGTAGATCCTTCTAAGTTGTGTCTCTCTGTCGCCGTTTACGGTGTCCACAGGAAGATATGGGCTAGTGGATATTCTTACACCGCAACTACACGATCGTTAGTAAGATTTAATTGCAATTTAATTACAGTAAGGGTAAGGCCTCAGTGGAGAGCATTTGCCGGAGCGTGCAGCGTGGCGTCTTAATCAACACACGCTATGGTATTTTAGTAGCCTGAGTGAAGAGAAAAGCTTTGTTTCGGGATACGCAACGTCGCACGCTCTCCACTGAGACATATACGAGGTGGAAGGGCAATTATTTCATATTTCCCTCTAAATATCTATACGTATTGTCCAGTGTCTCCAAATGTATATATTACATTTTTCACTTTTCATCTACAAAGTGTGGCGATTGTTACTAGTTCTCCTTAATATAAAAAAGGCTCGGTTACCAGCATACTATTACGGATTGACGAAGAAAACAAACAAAATACTTTAAAAATTTAATAAAGGTATAATATTGCTGCACTTTAAGCTAATGAGGACAACAATCTAAAGAAAATAAATTTATCTTCAATACTCTGGTAATTTAAAAACAAGTAATTTGGCGACATCCACCGGCTCCTCCTGGTCAATATCGATAGACCTGCGGTTGCGTTTGACGCAAACAGCTTTACCCTTAACGCTGTGGTCTTTAAAGTAGCCCATATTGCAAATACAGAAGTTAGGAGCCGAGCAGGTGCCGTTGGGACATCCACCAGGACAGTTTGGTAAGCACCTGCAAAAAACATTTAAATATTATAGTAACATTTAAAAAAATGTTGTCTTTTTCTCGTTTTAGCTGACTTCACAAAAAAGAGGATATTCTTTTTATGCATGAATGTTACGCGATCTTTGTCAATTATTAACAAATTTCTATGATTGTTCTTCAGGAGTAGTCCGATATCCAAAATCTTCCAATCTACAATCGTCCCAAATCCCCCGAGGGTGGGAAATAAGGGATTAATTTGAAAATTACATATATATGTAGGTACATGTATATGTGTAAGACGCAAGACACTGTCAGTTCACTCATTCAATTCTCACAAGTCGCCAGAATCTTAGTAATTGTACCACTAATAGGGAAAGACACTGGTTTTTAAGATACAATTATTACAACTAGTTTTGAATCCAGGGTTCCATATATTTGTTAAAAGATTTGTGGCAAATAAATAAATTATTTATTTAATTTTATAATGTACTTAACTATCAATACGAAAATCGAGCCTGTAATATTTCTTAATTCATTAAAAATGTTTAAAACATTCGACTTATAACAAAACCTAAAGTCTGAAGTCGGAGCTTTAATACTTTTACTATGCGTTAGCTACGAGTTCTAAAGCTGTTTGTTATAAGGAAATTATTTTATTATCTTTAGTAATTTGTAGGCGGCTTCATTAAGTTTATCATTGGACCGTAATACGTCCGCAAAATTTTAAATTACACGCACATCTGGAAGTAGGTTAAAAGGTTAAAACTGAGTTAATAAAATTTAGGCGCACTGGACGCCCGACAGATGTGAACCATCATATTTGATTTTAGAATGTATAATGAATGAAAACCAATAAAAACAGTTGGAGAAAGACAATTAAAAAATATTGTCACTGTTTCGAAATCTAACTTAGGATTCTATCAGACAGGAAGCGGTCACGCGTTCTAGAATTCCGCGTTCGCGTTCTGCGTTCGAGCGTTCAGTTGCTCACGAATCCCGAGTACAGTCACCATGTTGTTTGATTATAGTTCTTCATCGGAAGACGAATTATTGATATTGTGGATATTAGCAGCATCGAAACGGAAAAAGAAATATTGGGTGCACCCAGTAAATAGGAATAGAGAACAAAATGGAGAATTTCATAGACTGTTTTGTAAATGGCTTACTGATGAAGAATTTTTTTATAATTCATTTTCGGTCGCCATTTCTCTGGAACTTTCTAACCATGCTTTTGCTACTTTTCCTCAGTTTTTATAATCATCATTCTTCACATTTTATAAAAAATACACCTTTGTTATACCAACATAGTCAACTTCTCGGTCTCCATCTTCCTTCAGCAAAACAGCCGTGAACGCGCGAAAGCGTGCATTCTGGTTGACCGACGCGGTCGGACTGGCTATATCTATGTAACGTAACACAACACAACGAATGCAGAACGCAAACGTGGAACGCTTGAACGCGTGAACGTCTTCTGTCTGTGTGTATATGTCATAGTCAAAGCTCCCAACCGGTCAAAACCACTTTTGACTGGAAAAATCAGGCAAAAATTGTTTTGAACTATGCCCTTAGTCAAAAAGAGTTTGGATTGATTTTTGTAGTCAAAAGTGGTTCTGACCAACGTTCCGAGACAAAAGTGGTGTTATTTGATTTAAACTTCAGACTATCGGTTAAAACTCGCAATATCAATAACAATAGGTTAAGGTGCGGCGTAATGATATAAAATATAATACTGAAAAAATTGAACTTTTTGAAATTTCAGAAATTCAAAAAGTATAAGTCAAAAGAAGTTTTGACTTATTTTTTGTTTAGTCATAACTACTTTTGACTGCAAAACTCAGTTAAAAGTGGTATTGATAAACGTCCTTAGTCAAAACTACTTTTGTCTGATTTTTTACAATCTAAAGTGTTTTGACCGGTAATGAGTTTTGACTATAACATATACAAACGTTAAACGCCTCAAGTATACTAAGATCGAATAGAAAGGCAGAGAAGCAATGAAGTGTAAGTATACGTCGCACGATTCGAGTGTGGTGGCATGATTGCATAATAGAACGTCATGCCGTTTGACGTCACGGCATACGAATCGGTTGTACCCCCAAGGGGCGTCAATAGATGTTAAACATCAAAATGCAATTACATTAGTAATTCATATACATACATATATGAATGTTAGGCTAATAATAAAAGCGAATAAAAAAGTCCTTTAATGGTCTTGTAGAAAACTATTAAATATATTGTTATAGTTATAACAGAAACTAACCTGGTACCAGAAGGATCCTCCTTGTCCATAACATATCCATGGTTGCAAGCACATTTATTCCCTTCAACACAAAAACCATTGATGCAGGTCACAGTGCACTGAACTTGCACGTCGCCATCAGGATAGATGTGTTGACTTCCTGAGTACAATGGATATCCAGGTTGGTGGTCTTGACCGGGTTGATACATATTTTGATTCGGTGACTGTCCAGGCTGGTAAGGGTATTGGCCAGGCTGATTCTGTGATTGGTTTGGTTGGTTCGGATGTTGACCTGGTTGGTTAGAATACTGCCCCGGCTGGTTTGGATACTGCCCTGGTTGGTTAGAATACTGCCCCGGCTGGTTTGGATACTGCCCCTGTTGGTTTGGATATTGACCATGCTGATTTTGTGGTTGACCTGGCTGATTTTGATGGTGACCTTGTTGATAAGAAGACTGACCAGGTTGGTACTTAGATTGGTCGGGCTGGTTGGGATATTGGCCAGGTTGGTTTGGATATTGACCAGGTAGATATTGCGGTTGACCTTGCTGATTCGGATGTTGGCCTGGCTGGTAGGGAGACTGACCAGGTTGAAACTTAGAGTGATCGTACTGGTTGGGATATTGGCCGGGTTGATATGGGTATTGACCTGGTTGGTTTGGCAGGCCAACTGAAGGACGGATTGTTGATGTGGTAGTAGTTGAAGGGAACTCACAAACGTTGGGAGCGACACAGCGACCATTTGGTGCGCATCCTCTGAAAAACACAATAAACATCATTGTTACTCAACAAAATTTGTTTAGACACGTTGTAGAGCCAATGTAATAGCTGTATAAGTGGTAGAGCCACAGTGCAGCTATATTATGGTTGTGGCAAGAATGGGTTGGATGGACCGGGGTACGACCACGATCTCACTGTATACCAGCATAAATTAGCGGCTAAATGCTGCTGCTATGTATGATAAGTGTGGAGAACCGTAGACCCTTTTTACTGGAAACGAGGCGTTCCGTCTTACCGCTTAGGGGTAAGAACGCATCTGCATTTTAATTCTAAATCGAGGATAATTTTATATTTCTGTGGGCTACAGCAACCATTTATCGTCAGGTGGACAACTTAAATTATTTTAAGACATGTTTGAGTTACGCTGCAGTATAACATGTCTGTAGCATGAATGGGTTGGCTTGATTGCGAAAGGAAATAGCAGGATAATAATGCGTGATTCATGTAGTGTGTTTCGATAATCAGAGACAATATTTACTGATAGAAAGGTATTCCATCTTAGTCCCCAGGGGTGACAACGTATCTAAATTTTGATTCATATCAGTGGATAGATGATGATATCTACGGGCCACAGCATATTCTAATCATCAGGTAGACTGCATTGTCAAACGTTAACTTTTCATTGTCAATGTGTATTGATGCTGACAGTACTAGTCGTTTCGCACCTTTGATACTGCTGCCCGTCACTGATATCAGTATTTTAAGTCTACTACTAAACGAGATGATTACACTACCATCGATCCGAAGCAGTAACATTTTATGGACAATTTTATAAAAAATACATTGTAAGTCAATTTCATCTAAAAAAAGTCCCGTCATGGGTAAAAGTAAAATGACTTTCAATAAGTATTGTTGTAATCTATATTGAATTAAAATAAATCTATCCTATTCTATATCTCTTGTTACCTTCTCATTAGAAATCCACGAGACAAATTGGGATATATATGCCCCCACTAAACGACAATTATCTTTCTGAGTTTCATTTGTAGCATTGTAGATAATTTTAAAGTATAATATTTCCATGAATACTGCATATTGAACAAAATAAATTTTATGAATTTTATCGCGTGTAATTTTTATTTTTTATTTTTTTCCCCGACGTTTTGGGCACTTTTCCGCACCCATGGTTACGGGGAACGAAGGCTACCTATAGGTAAATTTTAAATTTTAATTTTGTCTCGCTTGTGGCATTCCTTAGGGAAGGCCTATATTCAGCAGTAGACTTGTGAAGGATTGTAATGATGATGGTGATGAATATTAAAACATACTTACTGACTGCAATGCGGTACACATTCTCCCCTGTTATTGTCGTAACCTTGGCGACAACGGCACTCGTTTGGAGCAACACAGTCACCGTTTATGCATCGGTCACAGACTGGCTTGCAGGAACCCTCTGGAGTTGATTTATAGCCGTTCCTGCATTCGCAGGTGTTGGGTGCAGTACAGTTTCCTGTTTCAAATAATATTATTTAACAAGAAGAAGAATAGTTATTATCCTTCAATCCCTAAAACCTCCTAACATTTTATTTTATTTTGATCAGTCTGTCGCAAATGTCCAGCCGTGGGCACTAATTCTGAACATTTTCGACTACTTTTGTAAGAAGAATTTACTGAAATTACTACGATAAGCAGTTGGATAGGCAATATTAGTATCAATTATTGCAGCAATCTGGTTATTTTAAACCTGGAATATACGAGTTGGTAATAACATTGTCTATTGGAAGCCATGAGATTTTCTGGCATGTCTCGTAATTGCCTCATCTTCCCATTCTCCTCTTTCTTTTAAAAGTAGGTAAGAGGCGGCGCTTCTCCGATGCGTGCTGATGAAATTCTCATGATTGATTAATTTTTACTTTACCGCTCAGAACGTGGTAGTTAACACTTAAAATTGCAATTCACAATTTCATTATTGCAAGTGGGGATCGAACCTGGCTTGCTAACGCACCATGAAATAACACTGAACGCTTGTCCCACGAGCTACCGCGGCTTTTTGGACTATAGTGATGGTATATATACTTACCGATACCGCCACAATTCTCTCTGCAGCTTGGCAAGCAGTATTTGCTCTCTGAATCCAGTCTATAGCCTTCTTTGCAGAGACATTCCCCACCAGCACAGTGACCATTTTGGCAGCCAATTGGACAGGTCGGCACGCAGAATCCCGCTAGATTTTTCACGTGATCGGGGAAGCAGGTACACGTTTCTGGTGCCGAGCACAGAGCATTGACGCATTCTTGTGAACATACAGGATCACAGATCCTGTAGTTATGTATGTTTCTGATGTATCCTTTACAGCAAGCTCTGATGCGACTGAGGTCAGGCCGTGACTGAAAATTGACAACGTTATGATTTTCTAAGGAAGTAAAGTTGACTGTGGCTCTGGATTTTTATTCTTCATCGAGTATAGATGTAGATGTCTATACCTACATCTATACTCGAGTTATATATATATATATATACACTTAAAGGAGAATAGATAAGACATCTTAGTCGTCCTCACGGGTGACAACGCATCTGCATTTTGATTCGTAATCGAGGATATATGTAGATGTCTATGGGCCACAGCAACCATTTACCATCAGGTCGACTGTGTGCTCGTTTGTCACCCTAATTCTATAAAAAAAACAGCGATATAACTGAGACAAACATTTAAATAACAACGATCATAACGAAAGATACTTAAGGAAAGCGGATTCCATAATGTGTTTTTCATGAATGATAAAGTTTTGAGTTTTGAGCAGTTATTCCTAAAATCAAGTTACCACATATATTCTAGAAAAACTTTATAATCATATTGATTGAATCATGTCTTACCCCGTTCCCGGCTGGAATGTGGGCTTGATCTCTTACCAGACTTGCTGTCCTGTGATACAATTAATAATTGTTACTCTTCTCTTATAGGTAACTAAAAATTTTTCCTTAATTCCTTAGTAAATATATTTAAAATGGCACGTTCAAAGGACACGTTTATCCATGAATAATATAATTATTAAAGGATAGTAATTATTAAAGATAGATTGTAACGAAATACTGTCTGATATTTTGGCACTACCGCATCGTCAAATAAGTCTATATTTTTTCCTGGTAGCTCTTTGTTTTTCCACAGTACAACTCCTGATCTCTTTCACTACTCTGTATTCAATGTAACCATTTAGGGTCCGTTCATCTAGACCAGCTTCTAGATGGCGATAGGCTACATAGACCGGACGTGTTTTAATGACAAGTGTATACTTGCTGGGAGGTAACGACTAAATTGGATGCGTTCGGTGCTGAACGATGCCGAGCGTATATATTTAGATTCGGAATTATAGTGTTAAATTACTGTTAAAGATATGATGAGCGGTACACAAAGGAGAACGTAAACGGAGGCGATCGGTTGCGCGAGTTGGATCTCGAACGGCTGGTTCATTTGAGGCATTTGCATGGCTCCTGGGTACCAGCTAATTACAAATAAATGAAATTAAAAAAATATATTAAGTTTCAATGACTTAAAACTTAATTTCAAATACGATTAATTGAAATTAAGATTATTTGTTCTGCTCTCCGAGCCAGTCTATGTGAGCGAGCCCTAAGATTACGGAGTGTCCGCTCTGTTCAAACTGGGTGAAACAGAAAATTCAAACAAGCGAATCACAACACACGCACACAAGCGCGGGTTCACCTACAGTAGCAACAGAGAAAATAACGCAATATACATATAGTACAGCGTGTACAGGCATCTCGTTTTGTTCTTTGACATTAAAATTAGGGTAAGGCTTTTGAAGATAACGGTTACTAAATAAACGGTAACTAATGCTCTTGTTTTAAAGTGTCTTGAATGACAGCTTCCTCCCGACAACGGGATAGATCCAGTAGTAATTTTTTGTCCAAATATTCAAACGCTACTCAGTGTTAAGATGCCGTCAAGTCTCATGCTGTCTCTACCACTTTAAGTCAAAGTGAGTGTGACACCGAGATTTAACGACATTATCGTATTTGGGCATTTGACTTATGAAGAGTGGCGGCTGCTTAAACTCACCGCTTTGTCTTACGCCCCACCGAGCTGCCTTCACTCTTTATCATTTGTCATACACGAAAAGAGAGCATCGATGTAATGTCAGACGCAATGAAACTCATAATATATCTATTATCTGTTAATCGATATCCGTAGTGTTAAAACATTAATTTAATGTTTAAGTTTTAGTATTTTTATTTGTAAAAAATATTGTTAGATACAAATTTAAAGTTTACTTAAATGGCAACACTAGCTAAATAAAAAACTGGCCCAGTGCGTGTCGGGTTACATACACACAATGTAGAGGTAGGGTTCCGTAGTTGCCCGTCACAATACGTGGGCTTCTTATAATATTTTAAAGATAAGAAAACGTGGAAATATTGAGCTTCCTTAAACCTTTTTTAACTTATTTATATATTTCATAAGGGTAATTTGTAACTGTACATAGTTACCGCGCTTGGCAGGCGGGTTGGCAACTGCAGATTTTTTTTATTTTAGTTTTTATTAGGAAGACGATACTGCCTATCTCTGTCCTTCTCTCGCCTATTTCGACACGGAAGACGCTGTTGCCTATCTCTTGTTTCCCTCTCTCGCATATTTCGACACTCACAGGTCGATATGGGGTAGTGGATATTCTTACAGCGCCACTACACAGTATAGATTTGATTTAATGACGCCTACAATGAGCGTAAATTACCAAAAGAATAAACTTACGGTACTTCGATGTAACACACGCCGACTTCGTTGGTAACAGTTTCACCCATGTTCTGCCTCAGATCATAGCTTTGCTGAGTATGGTTGCCAAAATATCTGTAATGTGAATAAATTAAAAGATATGTAGGCATATCATAGATTACCCCCTAAGGCATATACATACATACATACATACATACATACGTACATAAACTCAGACGCCTGTCACTCAGGGGTGTAAGCAGAGACTACGCACTTCACGATCATCACACTCCTCTCGTTTCTTTCTCATCCATATATTTTACGCATACAGGCCCATCGATTAAGGATACTCTTAACTTGGCCATTTTGTTCGATAAACTTTCGTCCCTTGCCCACTCTGCCACTAACTTTGAATACATTGCTTTGGCACTCTTTCATCATTCCCTCTTTTACGTGTCCAAATCACACACTAATAATTTCTATCTTAAACCCGAAAGATAATTAGCTACATCGATTATATTTACTTATTATATTTATTTCTCTATAAAGAATAGAATAAGATATTTTTTATTTAATATAGACTATTACTTATTACTTATGAAAATATTTTTTTATAATTACCAAAAAGATTGAAAGATTGAGAAAGAACACTAGCTATTTCTAGTGTACATCTTGCATAAACTTAATATACATCTTTTAAGTGTTTAATACCGTTTTAATTTTATGTTTGTAAAAAGCTTCTACGACACAAGAGAAATTACTCGTTCGGTAATGGGTCAACCTGATGACATTTCAACCGGGCTTGTTTCAGCTTTTAATTATTAATATGTGTGTTCAATCTATGTAAACAAGCTTAGCGTTTTCAAGTTTTACTGTGATATTCTTGGCGTCGCCGATAGTATAACAATGCAATATTCTCTATGTATTGAATATAGTATGTTTTAGTTTTATTAGCCTCAACAATCATCCTTCGTAGTCATCTATTTTAAAACTGCATGCGCCTCCCGTTTATTTTATGGCAGATTTTATCATTTTTATCACCTATTTCAAATATAATAAAAATACCCAATTCTACGAAAACGCTATAGAAATATAGTCTGGTAAGACATTCAGGAAGTCGATGGATGCAGGTGACTAAGGACCATGCTTTGTGGCATTCCTTGGGGAGGTCTATGTTCAGCAGTGGACCTGTGCAGGACTGTAATGATGATGATGGTGAAATATCCATGTACCGAAAAATCTGCAGTCTGGGAATATAATATCCAGACATTGCATTTGCACACCTCGAATTCGAAGCGGAATGGTTGAGGTTTAATGTGGACTTATCAAGGTCACGCATTCGGCTCTCATAAAGTTATACGTGAAGATTATTGAAACTGATACCTTTATTAAGTTTTGCAATATGTTTTATTACAAGAATCAGCTATCCGCCCCGGTTTAGCCTTGGTGGGATATTTAGACTTCTTACAGTAATCATCAATGGCCATTTATTTACAATTTTTTTTTATTTAACAAAAAAATTCGGATAAATTAGCCCAAATCACTCATCGTATTGATGTTTTTCTGTTCTGAAGTTTAACGGACAAAGAAACAGACAAAAATTTTAAAAATGGTTATTTTCATGTCTTAATGGGTGTGCAGGCTAGACATGAATAATCATTTGTATCAATAGTCCAAGGCAATTATTTCGATATAACAGTCAGACACTTTGATTTTATCTATATAGAAAATGTTTTGTAAAATTTACTTACTTGGCAAAATTTTCACCAGCATAATACTGGTAGCCTTTTCCTCCAAAGCCGCCTTTAACCGACTTCACATACTGCGTGTCAGAGTTGTTCGCACTAACGCACGCTAGTAGCAGTGCGCAAGTCCACACGTAGATCTGCATGGTATGCTGCGGGTAAAAAATAAGTTCGGTGTTATTTTGTTTTTTATACAGCTTCAAATGCTTTCCAACTACCTCATTGGTACAGTGCTTGTAAGCACGACTGCTGCTCTGAAGTCCTGGTTTCGAATCCCTGGTCGGTTCAAAATAAGTATTTTTTTCACATAGGATAGGATAACAAACGAGCACACAGTTCACCTGATGGTAAAGTGATTGCTGTGGCCCATAGACATCTACATTTATCATCGATTACAAATCAAAATGCAGATGCGTTGTCACCCAACTAAGACTAAGATGAAATGCCTCTTTTCCAGTAAGAAGGGTCTCCGGTTCTCTACACTCACCATAAGAAACACAGCAGTATTAAGCTGTTATTTTACGCTGGTATTCTGTGAGAGCGTGGTCCTTCCCCGGTCGAGCCGACCCATCCGTGCTACAACTATACTACTAATATAGCTGCAGCATGGCTCTACCACGTATAGAATTTAAAATTCTTTATTGCACATAAAGTGTACAATTGCTGAACTGTATGCCTTTAGGCATTCTCTACCAGTCAAGAAACACTTAAGCAGGTGCCATAAAAATTTGAAAATAAGTGTACATAAATATAAAATATAAAAACACACAAAACATACAAAATATAACTACACATATAAATATACATTAGTACAAATAACCTACATAATATATTCCATACCTGATAAATAACATACGCATTTTTACGCATAGTTACATACCAACATAAAATATTATAACTACAAAGCTCAAGTATCAAAAGATTAGAAAAAGTTAGCCACGGAAAAAAAAGGTACTGATCTGATAATTCTTGTAAAGGCAGCAACAAAAGTTGGTTTCGTGTATCAGTTATGAGCAGAGGATTCGATTTGCACAGCAGTTTTACAGTTGGCTTACATGAGCGAAATACATATCAGCATGATCAATGACCGGTAAAATAAATGTTCGCACCGACATAGCCTAAGTCTCAAATGGAAGGAAATTTTTACTCGGATTAGAAGGGAATCCGACCCAAGGTCTTTAACTATATGACTAAGAGGAATATATGTGTTGTTGTAAACAATAGGTCATCATCATCATCATCATTACAGCCCTTCACAAGTCCACTGCTGAACATAGGCCTCCCCCAAAGAATGCCACAAAGCACGGTCCTGAGCCACCTGCATCCATCGACTTCCTGCATATCTTACCAGGTCGTCACTCCATCTAGTGGGGGGACGCCCTACACTTCGCCTGCCGGTACGAGGCTGCCACTCGAGAACCTTTCTTCCCCATCGGTTGTCGGTTCTTCGAGCTATATGGCCGGCCCATTGCCACTTCAGCTTACTAATCCGTTGGGCTATGTCGGTCACTCTAGTTCTACTGCGGATATCCTCATTTCTGAGTTTATCACGCAGAGAAACTCCGAGCATAGCCCTCTCCATAGCTCGCTGAGCGACCTTGAGCTTCCTCATCCGGCCAGCAGTGAAGGACCACGTCTCAGTTAGGTTAAACAATAGGTGGCATGAGATAAATTTTGTAGGAGCATTGGAAATTTACATTTATGAAATAAATATAAGTGGTAGAGTGGCTATATTAGTAGTATAACTGTAACACGAATGGGTCGGCTCGATCGTGGAAGGACCACACTCTCACAGAATACCTCCGTCAAATGGCAGCTTGACACTGCTGTGTTTCGTATGGTGAGTGTAGAGAACCGGAGACCCTTTTTACTGGAAAAGTGGCATTCTATCTTAGTCCTCATGGGTGACAACGCATCTGCATTTTTATTCTTTATTGAGGATAGATGTAAGTATATATGTCTCACAGCAACCACTTACCATCAGGTAGAATGTGTACTCGTTTATTACCCTATCCTATTAAAATAAGTGTGGAATGCCGGTATTCAGATAAGATCCATCAGAGAAAGACTGTTGATTGAATTTAACCTTTTGCTGGCGACCACAAGATAGGATGACAGATGATAACCAATCCGAAGCTGACGAAGTGAATCACACGTATTTACAAATAGCTAGAAGAATGTAATGATCGACTGTAGAGAAAACATTAGAGAAGCCTTTGTAAATTAGCAGTTCTGGTATTGAGAAGTTTGCTTCTCTCTCGTATACCATAAAGAACTTTTAGGAGAGCTGTGATTGTAACTATATCCAGGACAAAAACCAGATTGTAAAGGACTAAGACGTTTATTTATTATTATCTAACTACTTAAATAACTGTTTATGTACAGCAAATTTTTAAATCTTTGAAAAAAAATAAGTATAGAAATTGCCAAAAAATGATTAACACAATCGGGATTATTTAACTTGGAAAATGGAAGGAAAAAAAAATTATGTGGGTATTGACTGGGAGAATGTTAACAAGTATGGAAATAATCATATTTCTACTCAAATCATCATAACTTTAATGCTGCTTTAAACTTAATGGAGAAAGTAACTTTACCGACATTTTCATCAGTTATTGGAGAAAAGGCAAAGCAGGTAGCGTCGATTTTGGGAAGTGATGATATACGAGTATATGATGTCTTATTTGGTTTTTCATTCAAAAAATTCTCAGTAGTTGTTTCACCTCCATGCCCCAGAAAGTGCGTAAAGCCATTGGTCTGCGCCTGAACTTCCTCCGGTCGCGTCGAATTACCGTCCCATCGGACTGAGAGTGACAGAATAGAGAGTGCACCTGTGTTTGCGTATACCCTCATGCACTATATCCTGTCCTGCGCAGATGGTAAGTCTCTGTTGAGGCAGGCCACCGTAACCGAGATTTGGTCTGGAGGACAAGTCATGGAATCTGCTTTCTAATTTTAGCACATTGTTTACATTAAAAAGCCATATTTTCTCCTATATCGTAGAGGCTTTTTACATTTATATAAATTGCACAAGGTTATACTCTTTACAAAGCAACATATAATGTGAATATGAATCATTTTGGTCCTTAAATTATATATAATTTGTTAATAACTTCACTACAGCACCACCAATCGGATCATAGAATAGCTATGAATCATCGTCTCGACAAAACAAATATACTGTATGACCATCACCTCAATAGGTCAAGTCGTTCAGAAGTGACACAATCAGTAACAAACACATCAACAATAATTATATACATATAAAGATAACAATTACTACTTGCAAATTTCAAATAGTTTATTTAAATGCTAGTAATGCAAAAACTGTATAGTGAAGTATTAATGGTGGTGTAGGAATATCCACTATCCCATATCGTCCCGTAGGTGTTGTAAGAGGCGACAGAGTAAAAAAAACCAGCAATAACAACTGAATAATAAAAAAACTGCGTTTGACAACCACCTGACAAGCTATAGTCATATTAATCTATAGGGGAGACCTATGTTCAGTAGTGGACTTTTGATAGGCTATAAATATAACAGTAGCGTTAACGCTATGAATACTAATATTGCTATTGATCACCCAAAGAAAGCTTTAAATGCATTTACGCCATTACGCAAGTTAAGCCACAGTAATGGCAGAATGGCGGATTTGAACTCACGACTTTCAAGTTAAGTTATTGTTGCTTATCCTTACTGTAACGTACACATTAATCGAATAGAAGATGAACAAAAAGGGAGCGCTTCGGCTCCGACGGCTCCGTGGCGCAGTGGCTTAGCAATGAGTTGTTGCGCTGGGGCCCGCGGGTTCGAATCCCGCACGGAACAAGTATTTGTATGGCCTACAAATAATTGTTCCGGGTCTGGGTGTTTGTCCTCGTGCAATCTATGTTTGTAAACTGCCTCCACGAAACAGGAAAAAATCCTAGTGTGGGGGTAATGTTTTTTTTTATAGATGCGTGACTGGGGTTCACTTCTTAAAAACGATGTGAACGAAGCACAGTTGCACTCTTTTTTCTTTCACTATCATAGTCCGAAGAGACGGTAAAAAGGTTAGAAGGGAAAGAGATTAGACGTACACTCTCATAGTCCGATGGAACGGTAATCCGACACAGTCGGAAAGAGATCAGGCGCAAGACCAACTTTACAAATACTTTTTTTATTTTGTATTAACTTGTCATATTTTTAGGGTTCCGTACTTCAAAAGGAAAAAACGGAACCCTTATAGGATCACTTTGTTGTCCGTCTGTCTGTCTGTCTGTCTGTCTGTCTGTCAAGACCCTTTTTCTCAGGAACGCGTGGAGGTATCAAGCTGAAATTCATTTCAAATACTCAAGTCTATGTCTCTTGTAGCTGTGAAGAAATTAAACTTCTAAGCCAACGCAATCAAAAGATACAGCCGTTTATGCCGCAAATTTTCGACATTCGCAAGGGAATCAAAACCTACAGGGTACTTCCCGTGAACTTAGAATTTAATAAATTTGGTACGAAGCAACGTATTATAGCACAGATAAAGGAAAAATTGCGAAAAGCATTGATTTTTAGTTACATCATATAATAAAAATATTTTTAATAACTTTAAACCTATATATCTACGGATTTGTTCGGAACCCTCGGTGCGCGAGTCCGACTCACACTTGGCCGGATTTTTACTATTGTTATTCTGTCTGGGAATTCAAGATGGCAAAGAATATAGACTATATCTTGGACGACATGGATATTTTATTTCATAAAACGGAAATAACAAACGAAACAACATTTTGTACGTGGTAGAGCCATGCTGCAGCTATATTTGTAGTATAGTTGTAGCACGAATGGGTCGACTACGACAGAATACCAACGTAAAATAGCAGCTTAACACTGCTGTGTTTCGTATGGTGAGTGTAGAGAACCGGTGACCCTTTTTACTGGAAAAGAGGCATTCCATCTTAGTTCTCACGGGTGACAACACATCTGCATTTTGAATCTTTATTGAGGATAGATGTAGATGTCTATGTGTCACAGCAGCTACTTACCATCAAGTCGACTTGTGCTCGTTTGTCACCCTATCCTATAAAAAAAGTACTTATAGTCCACCTCATGTTGATGCAGGCCATGAACACTTGCAGCCAACTTCAAAAAAGGTAACCTACAGGTGTATTGTCACCTCCGAGGACTAAGATAGATTGCTTCACAGCCTGTAATTAAACTAGATTTTTGTACCCTACAAACCAAAACACAAGAAAAAACATGCGTGTGTCGTGGAACACTCGATTGAAACGAAGTACCTTTGGTAGTATATTATTATTGTTAAACGTATTATATTATTGATTAACAAACACAAATAAATGACTTACTAGCGTCTATTAAAATGGAGCGTCATTTAAAATAAAAAATATTTCTTTCATGGCAAGATACGAAAAAGTGCGAGGGAGATGTATATTATTCAATCTCGCTTCCTTATAGCCGCCAAGGCCGTCTACACTACGAAGGGGTCGTGACGAGAAAATCTTACACTTTTTCTCGCTTAACCCCCATCCGCCAAATTCGTACCGTTCGCTAAGGAACTTCGTTCCAACAAGCATTGTTATCTCGCGGCAGAAATACGTAAACGATTGGAGCCAACCCAGACATACTCCTAGACAAAAAAAGAGTTCTACCTCCTAGTTATTATAGTAATAGTATTTTAGACCATAGAAAACGATAAAGGAATTACGAGATAATGACTATGAAAGCGTTTCTCTTATTCAACATGGGCGAATCCAGGTAGAACTAAGATTACAAAAATCTATTTGAAGCTGTTTAAGCATAATAATTAATGGGGAGATAGCCTTGCAGCTTAAGGGGGGGGGGGGATGGGATAATTTTTTAAAAAAATCCGTGTCGTTATGTAGTGATGACTAACTGACTGAAGCAAATCCTCCCTACAGATCGAGAAGCCCATATCCAGCAGTTGGCTCTTACGTGGTGGTGGACGACGATGATGGATTGAATAATTGAATAAAACCGATTTTATAAATTTTACCGCTCCGAGTCTGCAGTATGTCAACTTGTTCAGGAACATCCCAACCATTTAGACCATCAATCTTAGCGAAAGAACAACGATTCCTACCAAAAGTGATTCGCGAGGCTATTGAAATTAAAAACTTTCTTATTTTAATAGAGAAGTTACCTTATCTGCTTGGAATCCCATAATTAAAAAAATGAAATCCAAACCCAAGCATTCTAGGTACTTCAAAATTAAAAAATAAATATTTAAATACCTAAAGTAACTTTCGTTAACTATGATATGAGGACGTCAGTTTACCCCGTGTGCAAAAAACATCAAAACATAAAACCCCAGGGATGTTGAAAACCGCCCGAAACATCAAAAATTAGAAAAGTTAAAAATTAAACGAGATAAAATGAGCAAAAATATTTTTATTCAATGTGTTAGTATTCGCGTAAATATAAGAAATCATTGGACGATGATATAAGAAGCAAAAAATATGGAGGCCGGTCTATTAATAGCTACGGTCTACGATTACCGTATTAAAAAAAATATTAAATGTTCCAAATTAACAGTTTAAACAAGCACATATAAACCAATTTTAACATTTGTGTGTTAATAAAGATATTAGAAAAAAAAAACCTTTAGTGAATACCATATTAGATCAGATCACAGACTGTATGACAGAATGGTTAATTTTAAACTGTGACTTAACTTACCGTCGCTTATCAATCGAGATCGACTTGTGCACTGCTTAACATTCAGAATAACACTGACACGACATGATTATAAACTGTCCTAACCCGGATAGTAATTATGAATGTGCTTCATTGTGAAGTGGTTCCGTATAGAGATCTTTATATTTATTAAAACATGTATTAAAGTGCCTTAAATCGAATTTAATAACATATCCTCCAGACCGAACTTTGATCTATCTGCTAGACCTAGATACTAGCTATCTACGCTGTACAGGATTATAGTGCACTAGTTTTTTTTATATATATATATAAGATAGGGTGACAAACGAGCACACAGTCCACTTGATGGTAAGTGGTTGCTGTGGCCCATAGACTACATCCTCGTCCATCCATCTACATTTATCCTCGTTTGCGAATCAAAATGCCGATGCGTTGTCACCCGTGAGGACTAAGATAGAATGCCTCTTTTCCAGTAAAAAGGGTCTCCGGTTCTCTACACTCACCAAACGAAACACAGCAGTATGAAGCTGCTATTTGACGCTGGTATTCTGTGAGAGCGTGGTCCTTCCCCGCTCGAGCCGACCCATTCGTGCTACAACTATACCGGTAATATAGCTGCAGCATGGCTCTACCACGTCTAAAACTAGTTTGTACACAAACACAGGTGCACTCTCTATTCCGTCACTCACAATCCAATGGGATGGAAATCCTACTCGAAAGATCAGGCGCAGGGCCACCGGCTTTAGGCGTTTTCTGAGACACGTGTTATACGTGCTTATACGTAGTATCTATTGGTCTTCTAATGGTGTCAAACGAGGACACCGTCGCAATAATTCTCGGCTTACCGATTACGGAGAGAGATTAAGTATCTTAATCGTTTGCACACTTATATCCTCTAAGTCACTTGTGAAAATTCCATAAATCTCAAATCTTAATAAATTCAAGCGATACGAACTACTGTGGTTAATTCGCTTGCTATGCCCTCAATACGCAATTATTTTTTTGGGCTCACGGGGTGCGAACTTCTGAGCTATCTGCTCCTCTATGAGCTTCATGGTTAAACCTTAATCCACAAGAGCTGTGGTCTTAACCTTTCCTTTAGGTCCATATACGTAGACATATTATGGTTGTAGTACGTCGGTTCAATCGGGGAAGAACCACGCTCTCACAGAATGCCAGCGTAAAATACCAGTTTAATGTTTCTGTGTATCGTATGGTGAGTGTAGAGAACCGGAGACCCTTTTTACTGGAAACGAGGCATTCTATCTTAGTCCTCAGGGGTGACAATGCATCTGCATTTTGATTCTCTATCGAGGATAAACGTAGGTGTGTAAGGGCCACAGCATCCATTTATCATCAGGTGGACTGTGTGCTGGTTTGACATTCTTATTTTATAAAAGAAACACGAGAGTCAAATACCGCCAACTTCTTGACTCCGGGTTCCTACGGAGAATTTCTAGACATAAAGGCCCAATCACTGATTTTGTTCCGACCTGGGAATAAAATCCGTGACCGATATATCTGCCGGAGGCAATGAAAAGAATCGCCGGACCTTTAAAAGCTAAAACCTCACAGTGGTCACCATCAGCGTAGACGAGGAGTTCCGGGATCTCCGTTCGGAACGCAACCAGAGCCTCCATCGCTATGCTGTGCTAGCACATCCCAGGAGCAGTACTTACTGCCCCAGAAGGAATAAAGAAGCATTACCTATCCATAATCGATATAGCTAAACGAACGAACAACTAATGATGAAGGAAGGGTTTCGATAACAGTACAGATAACGACAAGCGAAGTTTAAGTTCACACTTGATGGAGTGACGACCTGGTAAGATATGCAGGAAGTTGATGGAGGCAGGTTGCTTAAGACCGTGATTTGTGACATTCCTTGATTGAGACCTATGTTCAACTGTGGACATCTAAAAGGCTGTAATGGTGATGATGATGATGATTGGTTCATTCAAACAATCATTTTTCTATAAATTGTTTTTGTACAAAACTTAATTTAAAATAATTTTTACAATCAACCGTCACGGATCTCTATTACCATTAGGTTAAAATGTCGTCATATATATCGGAAGCGATGAGATAATGCAATCTTGTTTTGCACATACAGCCTCGCTAGAATTTTAATGTTATACCTACATAAGTGATTAATTTAATTATTGTCCAATTTTTACATAATTTACGATAGCACTCGTTTCTCACGATTTAATAAAAAAATTGTGATCTCATAAACAAGTTATAAAGACATACTCAGCTAATTGTAAGTGGATTATGCCTTGTTTTCTACTGAGTTCAAAAAGGAGACGGTACTCAATTCGACTGTTTGCTTTTTTTAAGTGTGTTACCTCATTACTTTTTACTGGGTGAACCAATTTCGATGATTCTTCTTTTATTTGAAAGCTGGTGGTTCACTTGTGGTTCCATATATTTATTACTGTTATTTGATGACTGTCTGACAAATAGTTTTTGAGTTATTCTTAATAATTTATATTGAAGTCGGTTGTACAAAATTTTTAATTTTAAATTATTTATAATTGTGACCTATATTATCTTTCATCGAATAAGATTCTGAACGCAGATGCTTGTCGACACTACAGATTAAGATGGAATATCTCGTTACCAATAAAAAGTGATTCTGGTTCTCGTGACGTACCACAGGAAGCACTATTATATGTATTACTTCTGTGTGACTGACCATTTTGAGCTGTAACCATCAGCTGTAGGGAGACTCTATCACGTATACGTGGAGTTGCTAACCCTACTATATAGCATAGCTAAAAGCATACATATGGCTTAAAATTTCTATTTATTGAAAGTATACAAGATTAAAAGTATTTAAGTTATACGTGGTAGAGCCACGCTGCAGCTATATTTCTGATATAGTTGTAACACGAATGGGTCGGCTCGACCGGGGAAGGACCACGCTCTCACAGAATACCAGCGTAAAATAGCAGCTTAATGCAGCTGTGTTTCGTATGGTGAGTGTAGAGAGCCGGAGACCCTTTTTACTGGAACAGGGGCATTCTATTATATATATTAGTCCTCACGGCTCACAACGCATCTGCATTTTAATTCGTAAACGATGATAGATGTATATGTCTGTGGACCACAGCAACCACTTACCATCAGGTGGACTGTGTGCTCGTTTGTCACCCTTATTTTATAAAAAATAATTATTAGGACCCTAGGCCAACCAATAGATGCCAAGCTTATTGCAAAAATCATGCGTGAGTGTCGTTAAACATTCGGTTGGAACGAAGTTCCTTTCGTAGAATATTATTATTGATTGTCGTATTAAATTATTCGTACAAATAAAAATCATCAGCATCATCATTACAGCACATCACAAGTCCACTGCTGAACATAGGCTTCCCCCAAGGAATACCACAAAGCACGGTCCTGAACCACCTGCATCCATCGAGTTCCTGCGTGTCTTACCACATTGTCACACCATCTAGCGGAGGGACGCCCTACACTTCGTCCGCCGGTACGAGGCCGCCACCCGAGAACCTTTTTTCCCCATCGGTTGTCGGTTCTTCGAGCTATATGGCCGGCCAATTGCCACTTCAACTTACTAATCCGTTGGGCTATGTCGGTCACTCTGGTTCTACTACGGATATCCTCGTCTCTAAGTTTATAACGCAGAGAAACTCCGAGCATAGCCCTCTCCAAAGCTTGCTGATCGACCTTGTGCATCCTCATACGGCCAGCAGTGAAGGACCACGTCTCAGTTCCATAGGTGATCACTGGCAACACGCACTGGTTGTACAATCTAGTTTTCAAGTTGTGAGGTATACCTGACGAGAAGATGTGCCGTAATTTCCCGAACGCTGCCCAGCCGAGTTGAAACCGTCGATTGACCTCTAGGTCGAAGAATACCCGTCAACTACTTCGAGCTTGGTGCTCCCAACAACTACCGGCATAGGCATGACATGGAGGTTATACATGATCTTCGTTTTGTCCATGTTCATCTTAAGACCTATCCGTTGGGTGACACTATTGAGGTCATTGAGCATACTGCTTAGGTCCTCCAGCGATTCTGCCATAAGGACTATATCGTCGGCAAATCGAAGGTGAGTAATGTACTCGCCGTTGACGTTAATACCGTATCCTTTCCAGTCCAGAAGCTTGAAAACGTCTTCCAATGCAGCAGTGAAGAGTTTCGGGGATAACGTCACCCTGTCTAACACCTCTCTGCAGTTGGATAGGTTTCGTACTCTGGTTCTGTACTCGGATAGCTATCGTAGCCCTACTGTACAAACACTTTAGTACTTAGATATACCGATAATCAACTTGACACCGCTGAAAGGACTGCAGCACCGCCCAAATTTCTACAGAATCAAAGGTTTTCTCATTGTCCACATACGCCAGACATAGTGGCAAATTGTACTCCTCGGACTTCTGTATAATTTGCCAAAGGGTATGTATGTGGTCTATGGTGCTAAAGCCTTTTCGGAAACCGGCTTGTTCGGGAGATCGTCGAGTCTGCATGCGAGACGATTCATAATGACTCTCAAAAACAGTACGTAGACGTGGCTCAGAAGGGAAATCGGTCTGTAGTTCTTCAAGAGAGCGTTGTCACCTTTCTTGAAGAACAAGACCATTGCACTCCTGCTCCACGTCTGCGATGTAGTGCCACCATAGAGGACGGAATTATAGAGCTGCGGAAGGTCTTCAAGTACCGGTTTTCCACCCGCTTTCAGAAGCTCCGCTGTAATTCCATCCTCACCTGGGGCCTTGCCGTATTTAAGGTGCTGGAGAGCCATTCTAATCTCGCTCAGACTAACGTCCGGAATATCATCGGAATAGTGTCGGATAAGATTTGCTCCTTAATCGTGACTCACACTTGCGTGTAGTTCCAACGATGATATGTACAGCTGCTCATAGAACCTCTCAATCTCACTCAAAATCTCAGGTGTCCCCGAAACGACGCTGCCACACTCGGTCTTCAGCTTGGACAGTTGGCTCTTTCTGGCAGACAGATCTCTAGTAAAGAATTTGGAGCCCTGGTTCCGCTTCTTCAATATGAGCAGTATTAAAGTCGCGTAAAACCCGCTGCATTCATTTGGAGAT